TTCGGAAAATATAGTTACTTTACCCTTCCTTTTATTGTGTTTTCTTTTCTAAATGTAGAATTTTGAGTCAGTAGTTACTATGTTTTACCATTTTCATAATGCTAGTTCATTGTATTCTGGGTGGGGTTTTTTTGTTTTTGTTTTGTTGTTGTTGTTGTTAATAAGTCAGCTATACGATAGTCTCATTTTCATTCTTTGAAGTTGATATTTTTCCTCTCAGATTGTATTTCAGATCTTCTCTTTGACTTTGGTTCTTAAAAGTTTTAGTATGTTACTTGGTATGTTTTTCTTTGTATTTACCCTTCTTGATTTTCTTGGCAATTGTTGAATCTATGGATTGATGTCTTTTTCAGCCATTGTCTCTTGAAATATTGGTTCTCTCTCAATTCTCTTTCTCCCTTTATGTCAGGACTCAATGTACACATAAGCAAAGACCATTTCACTATGACTGAAATGTCCCTTATATTCTTTTCTTAATGCTGAGTACTTTTTATCTCTGTAGATAGTAGATATTTCCTACTCTCCTATTTCCCGTTCAGCAGTCCTCTCTTACTATATGTCCAAATCAGCTGTTAAATCCAATTATTAAAATTTTAATTTCAGTTGTATTTTTTCTTATTATTAAAAAATTAAATTATAGTTTACATTCAATGTTATTTTATATTAGTTTAAGTTGTACATCGCAGTGGTTAGACAATCATATATTTTACAAAGTGATTCCCCTGATATTTCCAGTACCCAAGGGGCATCATACATAGTTATTACAATATTAATGACTATATTCCTATGCTGTATTATACATCCCTGTGCCTATTTTGTAACTACCAATTAGTATTTATTAATCCCATAACCGTTTTTTTTATCCCACTCCCCCAAAAGCCCTCATCTCTGGCATCTATCAGTCTGTTATCTATAAGTCTGTTTTTATTTTATTTTGTTCTTTAGATTCCACATATAAGTGATATCATATAGTATCTGTATCTGGATTTTTTTCACTTAGGATAATACCCTCTAGGGCCATTCACCTTGCTGCAAATGGTAAGATTTCATTTTTTTAGTGACCAAGTAATATTCCATTGTCTATATGTACCACAGCTTTTTTATCCCCTCATCTACTGATGGGCACTTGGGTTGCTTCCATAGCTTGGCTATCTATACTAATAAAAGGGTAATATGCAAATTGGTCACAATGCCCTCACAGTCATGACTGGATATGCTAATTAGTCACAACCAGATATGCTAACTAGTCACTACCAGTATGCAAATTGACCATCACTCCAACACACAACATGGCCGCCCCCATGTGGCCACAAGATGGCCACCATAAGATGTTCTGCAGGGGAGGCAGTTGTAGGTGATCAGGCCAGCAGGGGAGGGCAGTTAGGGGTGACTGGGCCAGCAGAGGAGGGCAGTTAGGGGTGACTGGGCTGGCAGGGGAGGGCTGTTGGGGGCGACCTACAGGGGAGGGCCGTTGGGGGCGACCCAGGCCTGCAGGGGAGCGCAGTTGGGAGTGACCAGGCCTGCCGGGGAGGGCAGTTAGGAGCGACAAGGCCTGCCGGGGAGGGCAGTTGGGGGCGATCAGGCCAGTAGGGGAGGGCAGCCGGGGGCAATCGGGCTGGCAGGGGAGCAGTTAGACGTCAATCAGGCTGGAAGGGGAGTGATTAGGGGGTGATCAGACTGACAGGCAGGCGAGCGGTTGGTAGCCAACAGTCCTGGATTGTGAGAGGGATCCCAGATTGGAGGGTGCAGGCTGAGCTGAGGGACACCCCCTCTTCCCAATGCATGAATTTTGTGCACCAGGGCTCTAGTTGTAAATAATGCTGTAATGAATATAGACGTGCATATACTCTTTCAAATTAGTGTGTTGGGTTTCTTTGCACATAAACCCTCAGTTTTATTTTCAATTGTATTTTTTAACTTGAGAATTTTGATTGTTACTTTTATAAATGGCAGTTCTCTTCTGAATTTCTCCTTCTAGTTTTGAGCATGTTAAAACTATTTTAAATCGCATGCCTAATAATTTCATATCTGATTTTATTTTAATTAATAAAGCCTAGACATTGTGTTTAAAAAGGAATAGAAGTTCTGGTTGATTTTCTCCAAGGGCAGGATTTACTATTGCTATTGTCTGACAGCTAAAATGGAGCAAATCACCTTAATCCAATCAGGGATTGAGCTAATTTTAGTCTGGGGAAGGCTTGTCCTACTTATAGTCAATATTTTCTTTGAAAAAAGTATCCTTCGGGGGCCCCAACTGGAAGCAAGGTGCATTTATCTGAGCTCCCTCCTCCTTGGCAAGGCCCTACATTCCCAGCAATAGGAGACTGTTGGAAAGCACTTCTTGCCCGCCGTGTGGCTCTGTGGTTGAGGGCCAACCTATGAACCAGGAGGTCATGTTTGATTCCCAGTCAGGGCACATGCCCTGTTTGTGGGCTCGATCCCCAGTGTGGAGTCCTGCTGATCACTTTCTAACTTGTGTCTCACATAATCAACCCTGTTCTTGTTTTGAATGGGCAAAATTCTGAAAGGTGCTGAACAACTCATTTTTCTGAGTTTTCCTGGATGCTTGATAGCCCCAAATTCTAATTTTTATCTCTCTAGCGATGTGAAACTGCTAAAAACTCAACTCGGCTTCTCTCCTCCTTAACCACCACTTTTGCTCTGCTTCTCAGCCTCTCTCTTGATGCCAATTACTAACCCATAAATGCCTTGACAGGAAAAGAAGTGCAGAACACTGGGTTCCCTCACTGTGTTTTCATACCTTTCAGCATACATACCTTTCAAGCCCTGGCTGCCTAATAGTTCTCCTGTTCCTTAAAACAGACATTTTAAAAAGCACCCACTTTTCACATTGCCCTTGGTAGGAGCATTGGTTAAATTTACTGAATAAAAGAGTCTTTCCTACTGATTTGGAATTTTGCCTTTTTCAAATAGTGATTATTTATCCTCTGGTTTGTTTCTGAGCTCTGATTCGTCTATTATAACTGCAATCTGCTGTTTCAGTTATTGAACTTTAATGATTAATTTTACTACCTGGTGGTTCAAGTACTCTTTCAATACTGCTATTCGTCAATTTTATCTTGGTGCTCCCATCAGGATTTCTTTGCCTACAGTGTCAGAAGTGATTATGATCTGGACTTACGTGGAAGCGGTGGGGATACAGAGCAAGAACAGAGAGAGGGATATGGAGCATTGCCATCGCAAGTGCACGAGGCATGTGGAGGCTGGAGATGGCACATCCCGCCATGCAGCCTTCTGGCTTGGGAAACTAAGAGAATGGTAGTGTCGTTAACTAATACTGGGAATATAAGAGAAGCAGATTGTAACAGAAAGGAAGGATCATCTGTTGAAAGAGCAAAAGACTGGTGATATTTTAAAATGACTTCTTTAGCTAGTAGGATAGAAAGTTGACTTGGAAATATTAAGGGAAAAAAAAGATCAAGTGATGTCCAGTTTGGATTTGATATCCAATCAAATTTGTTGTGGCACTGATTCTCACAGATAGATGTGTGCTTTTTAAGGAGCAGTGCACAGCAGCTTTTCCATATATTCAACCATGTGAGGTGTGCTGTTAGGCTGTAAACGCGACCCCTTTGGGGGTTGAACGACCCTTTCACAGGGGTCGCCTAAGACCATCGGAAAACACATATTTGTAATTAGAAATAAATATTTCACAATATATAATTACATATTGTTTTTGTGATTAATCACTATGCTTTAATTATGTTCAATGTGTAACAATGAAAATATATCCTGCATATCAGATATTTACATCACGATTCATAACAGTAGCAAAATTACAGTTATGAAGTAGCAACGAAAATAATTTTATGGTTGGGGGTCACCACAACATGAGGAACTGTGTTAAAGGGTCGCAGCATTAGGAAGGTTGAGAACCAAAGTAAGGTGGTATTTTATTGCTAGGTCACTTATGTGAACGATATGGTGGAGCTGTGATGAGCCTTGGCCCTCTCTATCTGCCTATGCTCTTTGCAGCCTAAAGCTAAGACAGTTTCTAGACAGGGAGCCTGTCTGGATGCAGTTTCTTAGCACTTTTCACTTGCTCTATACCAAGCAGCCTTCCTTTATGCACCCTTAAAGAGACTTAGGAAATATTGCCTTGAGTTGTATACTGTAGCTTTAAAGCATTGTTTCAGCAAATACAAAGAATAGAGAGGGAGAGTGTTTCTAAGACTTGTTTTTACAAGGCTTCTCTTGCTCCCTCTGACTTGGGGGAATTTTTCCAGGCTAAATTTGAACCACAGGATCAGAATTGTAGAATTTTAGCCTTGAAAGAAATTGTACAATTTATTTGACTCCTTCTACGTTTTCTCCTTTTAATAAATGAGAGAAATAAGGAAGCAAAAACAAGGCTGAAGTAACCTGTACATCAGAAGCAGATCTAAACCCAGGAAACCCAGGTGTGCTAATGACAGATTTAGATACTTTCACTATAGTGTGGAGATTAGAAAATGCACATTAACTTCCTGAATTAATTTACTATATCACTTTGCATATTGCTCCCCTGCCTGACTCTCCTTTAAGATTCAGCAAAAATTTTAATGTGGAAGAATAAAAAGTGGTTTCGATCCTCTCTCTCCAGAGTATCAGATTTCTGAAAATTGCTGACAAAAAGCACTTTCAGGACCAAATTTAATATAAAAGCACAGAGTATGCAAATAAGGCACAAAGCCAAACTTTAGAAATGAACTAAAAAGATAAAGAATTAATATGGTGCCTTGTTTAAGATGAGACTTTAGTCCTGCATTCCTGTTCTTTCCTGGTCAACAAGCAACTGGGCCCCTGATGTGTAGATGCACACCTGGAGTGGCAACAGAGGATGAGCTACTTATCAAATCTCACTTTTGGGGCAATGTCTGTTTAGACATGCTCACCCCACCCCCATCCTGTTCTACTTCAGTGTCAGAAGGAAATGAAGCCACAACTAGAACAAAAAGAGCTCTCACACCTTTTGTCTCCTCCCTCCCTCCTCACCGCCCTCTCCACATAGAGCTGCTCCACCCCAGTTGGGCTCTATGTGACATTCCTGCCAGCCAGCCTGTGGGAGGAATGATGAGCAGGGCCTGCAATTACAGGCACGTGACACCCAGAAGCCCGAAGCTTCTCTAAGTTCCAAGTCTGTAGGAGACCCAAGTCAGAGCCATGGCATTGTCGCTGGAAGAATTTGTCCACTCCCTTGACCTCCGGACCCTCCCCCGGGTCCTAGAAATCCAGTCAGGGATCTACTTTGAAGGTAAGCACCCTCCAATTTCTTGGCTGGCTAGACATGCTTATACAGTGTATATTCTTGGGAACTGGAGGGAGAAATTTTAATAGAACATATATGAGTTCCGTTAAAAGAAAAGTGATCATGAAAGGGAGAAAGTAATTAGCTCACCAATGGTCAAGACCCAAAGGTGTTGGAGAAGAGAGAAACTAGATAGATAGGACTCTGGGGTGAAGAGGCGCAAGGAACTGAGTGAAGCTTCTTAAGCTTCTCAAAGGCCTCCAAATAGTTCAACATAAATGGCTAATTATTTCTGCCTTTTCTTTGAAATCGGGTGTAATGAAAGAATGAAAAGGTATCCATATTTATGTTTCTAGAAAATAAAAAAATAAAATTTAGTTTTTCTAGAACAGCAGTAACTACTAAAAGTGCTTAGAAAGAAAAGTTTAGCAAACTCTTAACCATTCTTAATGTTGCTTCTGTCAATGCTTCTTTCACTCTTTCTGTAGGGGCCTAATTCCTAAATCTTTAAATAATGACATTTTTATTTGAAGGTATAGAAATTAATGTTTCCTAACCACAAGATGATTTTTAAGAATTTATATTCAAAAGCCAGAGTTCAATTGGGGTTATCGATTAATAAGTTAATGTGTTTTGAAGTAACTTACTATGTTAATTCAGCAAAAGAATGTTAAAGCCTAGAGATGCTATCTACCCTAGAATTTTTAAGCAGTTAGTTTGAATACATGCAAGAAAAAGGGCATTTTCTAGGCAAATACATATTTCTTGTCATAATAGTGGTAGAATTAAGGCAGTAATGAAAATAAGTACAAAAAGGAACTAATGGGAAAATAACTCAAAGAAGTGTTGGTAGGCAAATCTTTCCTGTTCATAGACAAAATAATGTTTTAGATATTATAAAATAAAATAAGATTGACAATACACACACACACACACATTGGTGTGGTCTACCATCAGCTTAATACTGGGTTTTGTTGAAATCATTTGTAAATTGATTATTTGAAATCAAGCCATATTTTCCCATGTATACAATATTATGAAATATATTATTGTTCATAAGTCAGCCCCAAATCTTTTTTTGTTTGTTTGTTTCATGGTTTGTGCTATTGAGGCTTTGCGTAGAAAGTCGATCTTCATGTCTAAATTGCAAAGATATGTTCCTATGTTATTTTATATTGCCTTTTCCATATGACATTTCACATTTAGTTTTTAATCCATTTGGAAGACACTTTGTTCTGAGGTGCAGAAGGATCCCATTTTAGTTTTTTCATATAATAAACCTAACTTCCCAATACCGTTTACTAAGCTAGCCATCCTCTCCTCATTGATTTGTGTTGCTGCTTTTAGTTTCTGGATTAATCTGTCTCTGAAATATCACTTCTATTCCAGTAGTCTATTTTTTTCTCAATTATATCAAAATCGTCATATTTTTGTAACTATTGCTTCAAAATAAGTATTAAAATGTAATTTATGTATAGACCAATCCCTGCTTTTGCTCCTTTTTTTCCTAAATTGACTTAACTATTTATAGACTTTTCAAATATGTTTTTAAAGAAACCAATTAAGAAATTCAACTAGAATTTCTATGGATTGAACTGATTTTATAGATTAATTTGGGAAGAATTGACATTTTTATATTAAGTTTTACAAAAGAACAAAGTATGTCTCTCCATGTGTTCAGACCCTCCTCATGCTTTAATACTTTACTACGTATGCTATATTTCAATTAAGAAAAAAACTGCATACAGAATTCAGGTGAATTTTTACAAAGTATTCACATTTATGTAACCACCACTCTGGTCAAGAAATAAAAAATTGTAAGTATTCTAGAAAACTCATTTGGTGCCTTTAATCAATCATTATTGATCACCCTCCCCAAAGGTAATTATTATTATGACTTTTGTCAATTTATAAACGTACAGTATATATCCTTTTCTGATTGGCATGTATGCTCAACATCATATTTTAAAATTAATCCATGATGCTCTATATAGTTTATACATTTCAGTGTTTATAATATTCCATTTAGTGAATATACCACAATTTTCTATCCATTCTACTTATAATGGACATTTGAATTATTCCCAGTTTGGAGTTGTTACTAGCAATGTCATCATGAGTATTTTTGTACATGTGTGTTCACTTGTATATGCATTCAGTTGAGTATATAAATAAGTGACATTGCCATGTCATGTTATGCGTATGTTCAGCTTTGGTGAATAATGAAAACAAGTTTTCCTAGTAGTTATACCAATTTACATTCCCACCAGCAATATATGAAAGATGCAGTTAATCTATGTCCCTGGCAACACTTGATGTTATCAATCTTCATAATTTTAGTTATTCTGGAGAATTGTAGTTGTAGTTTGCACCTCCCGGCAACTAATGAAATTGAGCACCTTTTCATATGTTTAAAGGCCTTTGGGATATGGCCTTTAACCACACACACACACACACACACACACACACAGTATTGGGATTCTTTACCCTTAATTACCTGTTTTGCAAATGTCCATCTCACTCAATAGCTTACATTTTTAAATGGTGTCTTTTGATGGAAATCTTAATTTCAGTGGTAGTAAAATCAGTTTATAATTGCTTTCTTTTTTATGTGTTGTCAAAGAAATTTTCATTACCATAAGTTCATGAAGATATGTTCTCTCTCTTTTTAAGTTTCTACTTTTCTTTTCCAATTACAGTTTACATTCAATGTTATTTTGTATTAGTTTCAGGTATACAGCACAGTGGTTAAAATAATATACATTATATAGTAGTCTCCACCCCCCCCTACCAATATTTCAAGTAGACACCTGGCACCATACTAGTTACACTATTATTGACTACATTCCATGTCCTGTAATTTATATCCCATGACTATTTTGTGGCTACCAATTTGTGCTTCTCAATGCCTTCACCTTTTTCATCCAGTCCCCCAACCCTCCTCCCCTCTGGCAATCATCAGTCTTCTCTCTGTGTCTATAAGTCTGTTTCTATTTTGTTTGTTCATTTATTTTGCTCTTTAGATTCCACATATAGGTATTTGTCTTTCTCTGTCTGACTTATTTCACTTGGCATTATACCCACTAGGTCTATTCATGCTGTTGCAAATGGTAAGATTTCATACTTTTATTATGGCCAAGTAATAATCTATTGTATATATGTACCCCCACTTTTTTTATCCACTCGTCTTTTGATGGGTACTTGGGTTACTTCCACAAATTGGCTATTGTAAATAATGCTGCAATGAACATCAGGGTGCATATAGTATTTCAAATAAGTTTTGGGGTTTCTTCAGATATATTCCAAGAAGTGGAATCACTGAGTCATAAGGCAGTTCCATTTCTAATTCTTTGAGGAACATCCATATTGTTATTCATAGTGGTTGCATCAATCTGCATTTCTATGGGCAGTGCACAAAGGTTCCCTTTTCTCCACATCCTCACCAACATTTGTCGTTTGTTGATTTATAACCATTCTGACAGGTGTGAGGTGTTATCTCATTGTGGTTTTAATTTGCATTTCTCTGATGACTAGTGACATTGAACAACTTTTCTTACTAGTGTCTCTGTGCCATCTGCATGTCCTCTTTGGAGAAGTGTCTATTCAGGCCCTCAGCCCATTTGTTCATTGTATTTGTTTTTCTGGTGTTGAGTGGTATGATTTCTTTATTTATCTTGGATATTAACCCTTTATCTGATATGTCATTGGCATGGTTTTAATTTGCATTTCTCTGATGACTAGTGACATTAAACATCTTTTCTTACTAGTATGTCTGTGCCATCTGTATGTCCTCTTTGGAGAAGTGTCTATTCAGGCTCTCAGCCCATTTGTTCATTGTATTCGTTTTTCTGGTGTTGAGTGGTATGATTTCTTTATATATCTTGGATATTAACCCTTTATCCGATATGTCATTGGCGAATATCTTAAGTATGTTGCCTTTTCGTTTTGTTGATGGTTTCCTTTGCTCTATAGTCCATGTGGGAAGAAATTTAAGTGTCTCAAAGACCAACATGGAAGGTCTGAATAGAGGAGAAGCCTTTCCACAAAGGCCTCTGCTAGAGGAGAAGCAGGAGAAAGTGGGGTAGTTTGTTGATGAAAAGAAATGACATAGAGCACTAGGTTGTGAAAGTGTCAAGGGTAAATGTTTGTTTTTAGCACATAGTTTTTGATGGACTATTAATTATGATTATCGCCCTATATATTGAGGGCTTATTATGGACCAGGAACTGTGCCAAGCCCTTTATATATAAACTAAAGACCCAGTGCACAAATTCGTGCATGGGTGGGGGCCCTCTGGGTGGCCTGCAGATATCGGGCTGAAACCCTCAATCCAATGCCACCTGCAGCTCCTACCTGCTGCTCCTGCTCATCCCAGCCCCACTGTGCCTGCTGCAGGCTCGTGCCCAATCAATCGCAATCGGGAGAGGCTCACAATGCCACAGCAGCACTCACCAGCCATGAGCACTGTGTCTGGCGCCCTCCCAAGGGGAGTGGCCTGCGGGATTGGGCTGAAACCAGCTCTCCAACATCCCCTGAGGGGTTCTGGGATGCGAGAGGGCACAGGCCAGGCTGAGGGACCCCACCAGTGCATGATCAGGCCAGGGAGGGGCCGCAGAAGGCTCCAGGGTGTGTCTGGCCCATCTTGCTCAGTCCCTATCAGCTGGACCCCAGCAGCAAGCTAACACCCTGTGGTCACTGCATATCATAGCAACTGGTTGACCGGTTGAATGACTGCCCCCTGGTGGTCAGTGCACATCATAGTGAGCAGTTGAGCAGCCTTAGCATATCATTAG